AAGTCAACATGTCACAGTCTTTACTGAGCTGTGTGGGGTTTGTTCAACTTTTAAAAGATGTTTGAATGGTGATATACACAGTGATAGATGTTAAGGACTAACGTTTATAATAAATACATTTGTATTGATTTTAAGATCTTTTCATACAGTCATACGTATTGGGATCATTTGTATTAATGTGGACCGGAGGGAGAGGGTGACGAGCATAAGTTTCACTTTCCTTTTTTATTTCAATTCCAACTTTGGTCATGAAGAATATGTTTCTCTGTTGTCCCCGTTCATAAAGCATAAAACAACAGCATCAGAGCACGGTGCAGAGTCTCTAGATGAGTTTACAGTAGTCCCTCGTTCTTATTAAACATCCATGTTGTAGTCCGCTGTATAGAAAACTGTAGTTTCCATAGTTTCCCCACAGCAGCAGACGCACATTTATGACCTCCGCTGGCGCATCATAAACACGTCGGATAGTGAAAGTGCAGTCGGATTCTCTAAAGTACCGCAGTCTCTTCTCCTAAATCCTTTTGAATTCTCCTATCCACTATCCCTTAACCCCGTGACGTTTCACTCAGAGGTTAAGGAATCAGTGTTAATTTCGTCAACGAAAACTATGACGAAAAATGTTCGTCAACGACCTTTTGTACACGACTAACACGAGACGATGACGAGCTAAAAATAGATTCTTGATAACGAAAATTTGACGAAATGTATATTTAGTTTTCGTTGACGAGACGAGACGGGACTACGGTGTTAATGGTGGACTATCGGACATTCAAAATGCAGGGTATTTCCCCACAATTGCCCGTCTTGTCTGTCAAAATGCATCTTACGTTTCTAACTTGCAATATCATTATTTCCGCTCTCTTCACTCCAGAAGAGCGATCTCCCTGTCTCTCTCTGTGTGTGCGGGGGGTGGGGCCTAACAGACACGCTGCAGCGGCACACAGAGATCTGCCGGGGACGGAGTGTTCAGAGAGTATAGAGACACTCTACAAGGCTCGATGTGGACAAAGCTCGTTTGCCATGTTTTCGCGTTAGCGCGTTGACACGAGTAGAGTAGTCTGTCCAAACAGCCGGCCAAAAGGCGTCATATTCAATCGGAGAAATGCACAATTTTCGACTTCCTTAACTCGTAGCTCTGTTGCCTCAATTACGAGTAACGTTATCACATCAGGTGTGCAGAGGTGGGAGAAGTAGCCTACTCAGATCTTGTAGCTAAGTAAAAAAAATACCATAGTGTAGAAAGAGTTCCTCAAGTCAAAGTCAGGGATGCAAACTTGTCACCTTTCGGCGAAATTCGCCGTTTTGATTCCAAAATAGGTCGTTTGTGTGATTCATGTAGATCTGCAATAAAAATATTTTTGGGATATGGGGGGGGTCTGGGACCCGGAGTAATCTGCGGCCGCGAGCTGTTATGTGCCATCATGACACGCATGGTGTTCTTTTTTTATATATTATAATGAAGCGCGAGCACAAGTCTTCCTGCCTGTCAGCTCTGCTCATGGATGTATAATAAGGCTCTGCTGCTCCGGGATGAGGGTCTAGCTTCAGCAGCTACATTACCTACGGTGCGTTCGTTAATATTAACTGTGCGGGCACAGACTGGACCGCTGGTTAGAACGGGGTGTTCAGAGCAGAGCTCCCTGTCGGAGCGGCAGAGCGTGATGTGCACTGAAAAGTGTTTCTGTCGCAATATTATTTAATGAATCGTTGAGCTAGCTAACTAGCATACATTGTCACTATCTGCTAACGTTAGCTTTAGCCTTCGTTTTCAAATAGTTTCTTTCATAGCCTATAAATGGAGGTGGTATAATGGCGCATTTCCATTGCAGCGCGTAGCTCGCTTTAAGCGTGCCGTGTCGTGCCGTCCCCTTTTTTGGTTGTGCTTCCACTAGGCCTCGTTCCGGCGCGGCACGGCGCGGGGCCACTTTTTCCCCTCTTTTCTGGCCCTAGAAAATTGTGGTTCTATCGGGGCCAACAAACAGGGCTGAGTCGGGCTGAGTATGCTAAACTAGAGAGAGGAGCGCTGGCAAGAGGGCTAGAACTACAACAAGATGGACATATTTGACCGTGATTTAATTGTAATACACGTTTCAAAATGATGCCGAAGTAACAACATACTGATACCGGTTAGTAAAAACCATGAATTAATGCTTTGTCAAGTCTGCAGACAGACGGCAGGCGAAAAACCTTTTAAAATTCGTGTTTTTCTAGATGGAGATTGGCTAAGCTAACGCAGTATATGCCCCGACCGTCCACACTCACAACAACGGCCTATACAGACATAAATAAGGCAGCGACTGTATTCACCATGACACAGGCAGTCTGTGGTGTGTACTTGTTTAACTTTTGTCGAGTTTCTGAACATATATAAGGAGCTGTGAGCTCTGAGTGCTCACAGCTAACGGCTGTGTTGTGTTTCTGGATTTCTCATTGAAGATGACGTCACGGCTCCGCCTACACTGCGTTACTATAGTAACTACCCCAGTTCCTAAACTGTAATGGAAGCGCAGCATGAAGTGAGTCGGCCCTGTTAAGGCCCAACGCGGCCAAGCCGTACCGAGCCGTACCGAGTGTGGCCGAGGCCGACCGTGTAGTGGAAATGCGCCATAAGTATCTTGTACTTGAGTAAAAGTAGAAGCACTCAGGTCTTGTACTTGAGTAAAAGTAGAAGCACTCAGGTCTTGTACTTGAGTACAAGTAGAAGCACTCAGGTCTTGTACTTGAGTACAAGTAGAAGCACTCAGATCTTGTGCTTGAGTAAAAGTAGAAGTACTCAGATCTTGTTCTTGAGTAAAAGTAGAAGTACTCAGATCTTGTTCTTGAGTAAAAGTAGAAGTACTCAGATCTTGTTCTTGAGTAAAAGTAGAAGTACTCAGATCTTGTACTTTAGTAAAAGTAGAAGTACTCAGATCTTGTACTTTAGTAAAAGTAGAAGTACTCAGATCTTGTACTTGAGTAAAAGTAGAAGTACCAGAGTGTAGGAATACTCTGTTACAGTAAAAGTCCTGCATTCAAAATGTTCCTCAAGTAAAAGTAGAAAAGTATTCTCATCAAAATATAGTGAAAGTAGCGACAGTAAAAGTAGTCATTGTGCAGATTGGTCCATTTCAGAATAATATATATGATATGTTTTATAATGATTGATCATGAAAGTGTTCTCAAAGCTGGTAAAGGTGCAGCTAGTTTGAATGACTTTGTATACTGCAGGGTAGCTTGTGAATTTACTCCAGGTGGAACTAAAGTCTGATTTAACACTTGATTATATTTCACATCATTCATCCACATCTGTGAAGCAACTAAAGGTATTAAATACATGTAGTGGAGGAAAAGTACACCATTTACCTCTGAACTGTAGAGGAGTAGAAGAACAAAGTAGCAAAACATTGAAATACTTAAATAAAGTACAAGTATCTCAAAATTGTACCCAAGTATAGTACTTGAGTTTATGAACTTAGTTACTTTACACCACTGGCTATAAAGATAGAAAGACAGCCTTGCACAGAGGCATGAAAATACATTTTCAAAATGCTCAACAGTCCTGCCAAAATTATAAACTGACTGCTACACAATTAAAATAAATGCTTAAATATATTTCTATTAGATGTGACTCTTTGGCGTTTCTGTTATTATTAACTGCTGCTTTAGTTGTTCTGACTGCTAAAATCCTCTGTTATTCCTCATTTTAAAGCCGATATTCCGTGGGGTCGGGGGGCTCGGATCCTTGTCACCTTTTTCATACCTGATGAGTTTGCATCCCTGCAAAGTATGATCATCAAAATATAGTTAAAGTAGCGACAGTAAAAGTATTCATTGTGCAGATTGGTCCATTTCAGAATAATATATATGATATGTTTTATAATGATTGATCATTAAAGTGTTCTCAAAGCTGGTAAAGGTGCAGCTAGTTTGAATGACTTTGTATACTGCAGGGTAGCTTGTGAATTTACTCCAGGTGGAACTAAAGTCTGAGTTAACACTTGATTATATTTCACATCATTCATCCACATCTGTGAAGTAACTAAAGGTATTAAATACATGTAGTGGAGTAGAAGTACACCATTTAACTATGAACTGTAGTGGAGTAGAAGTACACAGTAGCAAAACATTTAAATACTCCAGTAAAGTACAAGTACCTCAACATTTTACTCAAGTACAGTAGCCTACAATATTTTAACATAATTATATATATTTCATTTATTTCACATTTAAATAAAGCAATTAATTCGGTTAACAATTTGTTAGTTTTTTCCTTTAAAAAATAACAAAAAGTAAATACAAGAATACCGTTAAAGTACCGGATCGATAAGCAGTATCGATAAGACTATAGTACCGTAGAAAACCTTAATGATACCCATCCCTAGATATTACACAAGTAAAGTGTTAAGAGAGTGAAATGTTGCTTTACGAATTTCAACACTTGATGCTGTCACCTTGATTACAATGTCAGAAACCTGTATTTGCCTAACTGAATTGGTTTAAAGAGAGAAAACATTTTGACTAAAAGTTGACTAAAATGTATTTTTTCGTCGACTAAAACTAGACTAAAACGTTTGGAGTTTTCGTCGACTAAAACTAGACTAAAACTATGAAGGATAGAAATGACTAAAATGTGACTAAAACTAATAACCATTTTCGTCTAAAGACTAAGACTAAATCAAAAACAGCTGCCAAAATTAACACTGTAACGAATAGACGATAGGGTTAGAATTTAGGAGCTGATTTTTGGACTATTCGACCGCAACCCGAGCTGTCCGACTTCAGGCGAGCTTTTTGAGACCTCCCCCGGCTGCAATCGGCTATTCTCGTCTACTTTCGAGGCGAGCCGCAGCTCATCTCAAACAAGCCTAGTAACTCAGACTCTCCGAAACTACTGGCCAAAGCGTCTTCACCCTCGGATGTAAATTGACACTTTCGCTAAGAAAACAACGTAACAGGGCGTCTACTTGTAATTGAAAAACCCCTCCCCTCTTTCCAACAAAAAATAAGAGAAGGCAGGCAACATGGTGGTCAACACCATCCACTGGTTCAGGAAGGGGCTGCGGCTGCACGACAACCCGTCTCTAAGGGACTCAATCCGGGATGCGGACACCCTGCGCTGCGTTTACATCCTGACCTGGACCCCTGGTTTGCAGGGTCCTCCAATGTGGGCATCAACAGGTGGAGGTAAGAGTGGGACCGGAAGTCGGAAGTTATACATTAGTGGGTGGAGCCATGGGGGAGGGTTTAAGAGGACTGCACCTCAACCCAACATTTAGTGGACCCTAATTATACACATACACTATGATATCTTCCCTACACTGACCTCCCTGTTTGTCCAAATGTACAACTTTAGTTCAATTCTACATAGCATTTTTGTACATCCCTTTCAAAAATCTTATAATTAAATGTCTAACTGAAGTGAAATATGTCACATACACACTTTAAATCAGTTATACCCCTTAATTGTTAATTCATGTAGAACTTATTTGTTGAAATAATAACTCTTGATTACTCAAATTCGACACCTGTAACTCTGTGTTTGCTTCCAAAAGCTTTTTAATATGTAGGGAATTGTGAACACTACTATGCTTACATTTCACTGTGTTTTCATAATTCAGCTCATCCTCAACCCATTATTGCAGTAGTTAAGTACCAATTTTGTTATCAGTAATTATTATGTCACACTTAAACCAAATCTAAATCCACTAACTGGGATATAATTATATGTTTATCATTTGAACAGCACAACAAAATGCCAGAACCAATCAATATCTCTTTAAAGTGTGTTGTTAAATGCTTTGGATATAGCCTGTTATTCGCCAAGTGTGTACAAAGATGTTGCCATCTAAACTCTGCCACTCCCCCTGAGTTACAAACAACTTTCAAGCAAGTTTTCAAAAAAAGCAGCAATGGTTTCTAATGGGCCTTGTGACATTACATTTTCTTGCAATCAGTTTGGCCTCTTCTCAATTATAACAGACCTAACAGGCTTTTTATTAACTGCTCAGCTGTGGCATGGGGGTGGTATCACAAGAAAAACTGGCAACAGTTCATACCCCATTTATACAATATGTGGTCTGCAACTGTGGTGCAATCTGATTCATTAGTGATGACAACCTAGGCCATTTTCAAATCATCCTAGGTAAAAATCGAACTATATTCCTTTTTTCTTTGATAAATGTACATTTATATCACTTAAGAGTTCCTTTTAAAAGTAAAATAATACAGAATGTTATGGAGTGTGTGTTTTCTTAATAGTCGTTCTAGCATTTATATTTTGTTTACAGCAGGTTTAGTTGTCCCCTGTTCTTTATTATTACAATAATTAACATCAAGGATGCATGCTAAATCATGGCATCTTCCTTTGTTTTCTTTAACTGTTTCTTTTGAATATTTTCCTTAGCATAATAGTTAGCTACCCATTAGTAACTTGCAGAAAAGGAGCTACTCTATTTGCTCAAATATATATTTGAAACGCATGTGTATAATAAGAGGAATAATATTAAAATAGAGTGAATATTTAAAAAAGTGTGACATTTTCACTGAATCCTTTCTCTGCTGATATTTAAACCTCACACGTTATCATTGGCCTCATATGCACCACAGTTAAGGAAGCAGTTTGTAGGATTTAATGGCTTCTAGTGGTGAGGCTGTAGATTACAACTGACTACCCCCATCAGCACTCCTTTGCCAAGTATTTCAAACCTGTTATTATTTTTAAATATGTTTGACGTTCACCTGAGATGATGTCAGTGTGCCTGTTCAGGATGACGATACATTTTCACTCAGCTGCTCAGCCCTGAATGGACGTATGACAAAGTGGGTCAGTGTGTTGTAATGGTCATTACATAATCACACTTTGTTGACCCACATCTAACAGACACTCACCAGAGACCCCATTTCACCCCTCTATAGTTTGCTGCAAACTTACTATGTGCATACTATTGATATAGATCTCCAACATAAAACAAATGTTGGAGATCATTTTACATTCTCATCCAATGCTTTAGCCTGTCAAGGACACTTGCACATCATCCTAACATTTTTGTGTGAGAGAATAAAGTCTTATTGTTTTGCCATTTTTGTTTTTCTCACTCCAAACTTTAAGCCTTCAGGGACCAATAAAAAAAAAAAAAAAAGGCAGATGTTTGGACAAATCCCTGGTGTTATATGAAACAATTCCTATGAAAACTCTGCTAAATCAATGCAAAGACATTGGGCCATTGATAGAACAATGATACGTCCAATATTAATAATGTGGCAAATAAAAGGCCAGTGAAGTTTGTCCAGTGTAATGGTGGGTTTCATCCGCTTTGCGGAAATCAAATGAAGATATTTGTTTAACTCTGTTTTGAGTTACAAAGAAAACTAAAACATTAAGCGTATACCTGAGAACAATTTAAGTTAGAGCTCCCGCAGACTTTTGCCTAGCATCCGCAGCAATTTAAATTGATTTGGCTAACCATCTGTTGTAGATAGCTTACATTAGCCATCTGTGGAGCTATACGAATGCATTACACAAAGCTACTGAATGAATCCCAACTCCACAATTAAGAGAAATAATCATTTGGGCTATTTACTTAATTAAAAAAAAAAAGGTTTTTGTTGCAGTGCTTAGAGGACTTGGATGCAAGCCTGCGAAAAATCAACTCCCTTTTTTTGTCATCAGAGGCCAGCCCACAGATGTCTTCCCAAAGATTTTTAAGGTATGCGCGATGGAACAAAGTAGAGGATTTATTCTTATATACTTAGCTTTTTGACCAAATTAACTGGAACCTACTAATCATTGTTAACAGATTTCCATAGCTGTGTTGGATGAGCAACTATAATGAGATTTGTGAACGCGGAGAAAAATCTGTAAACGCATAGACAAATCAGATTTACCAAAAAAAATCGTCATTGTCACTCTGTCATTTCACCTTTTACATACTTACATAAAAAAACATGTACATTATGTATTTATTCGTGTGTATGATTTAGTTTCTCAGGAATGGCAGATTAACCGTTTATCTTATGAGTATGACTGAGCCATTTGGCAAGGAACGTGATGCTGCCATCCAAAAACTAGCCAGGGCAGCCGGGGTAGAGGTGATGGTGCGGACCGCTCACACCCTGTACAATCTGGACAAGTGAGTCAACATACAGTATTCAATCAATCAAATGTTCTATTTCAATGAGCATTTTTGAAACAATCTGTGTGGAGATTTGTATTGATTTCCTTCTTCATTTTTCTGTCCTAAAGGATCATAGAACTGAATGAGGGTCAGCCTCCCCTCACCTACAAGCGCCTCCAGGCCCTCATTAGCCGTATGGATGCTGTGGAGCTGCCGGCAGAGACCATCACGTCAGAGGTTATTAAGAAATGTGCCACACCCATCAGCGACGACCATGATGACAAGTTCGGGGTGCCCTCCCTAGAAGAGCTTGGTAAGTTGTTTTTTATTTTTAGTAGGTTTTTTGTGAGCAAGACTACTTTAATTGTGGTGTACATTATGTTATCCCATACAGTATCACAGTCACAAAATTCCAACAGTTTTTAAATATATACATTTATTCTAATTCTTCAGGTTTTGAGACAGAGGGCTTGCCCACAGCAGTGTGGCCAGGTGGAGAAACTGAAGCCCTCATGAGGCTGGAGCGCCACCTGGAGAGGAAGGTAACAAGACTTTTTACTACATTATATCTGAATAACAACTTGTGTAATATTTTACGATATATTGTGAAACTTTGGAAATAAATTTCCCTGCTTTTTGAAATATGCACAAGTCAGCACAGGACTAAGGTGTTCCCATGTCACTGGACATTTTGTTCCAAAAATCAAAGCAGAAAGTGTTGGAAATGTAGATTGATATAGAACACATGCAACTCTGATATGGTGGTGAATGCTGCCCACTGCTATATAAACAGTGACATGTAGTACTCCACTGTTTGTATTCACAACTTCAACCAAGATAATAACAAATAGTTTTAGGACATTTAAAAAAGACTTGAGTTAAGTATTTTTAGTGTAGGAAAATGGCAGATGTTATAAATGTTTGGTGTTTGGTTATAAAAGGCTTTATTGGATGGCAGTGTTAATAGATTTCCCATTATATAGGTTTAGAGGGCAGCTAACAAAGATGAAGGCTGAACAATACATTTGATTTAAAGGGGACCTATCATGCAAAATGCACTTTTGTACGTCTTTTATACACGAATATGTGTCCCCGGTGTTCCAGGGAACTCACCAAGTGTCAGAAAACACAACCCTCTCTATTTTCCTCCATACCCAAATCTCTAAAAAAGGGGCTGCAATGGATCTGATACAGACTGATCCAGATTTGAACACTTCAATGACGTCACAGAAGTGGCGCTACGGCTATTGGGCCAACTCTCCACTCTCCTCTTCTCTTTAACATCTACATGCTACCACTGGCTCAGATAATGAAAAAAACAAAATAAGTTACCATAGCTATGCGGATGACACACAAATTTACGTAACAATTTCACCAGGAGATTATGCTCCAATTCAAACACTGAGTAAGTGCATTGAACAAATCAATGACTGGATGTGTCAGAACTTTCTCCAATTAAACAAAGATAAAACTGAGGTAATGGTTTTTGGAGCCAAGGCAGAACGTATAAAAGTTAGCGCTGAGCTTCAGTCTGCAATGTTCAAAACAACAGATAAAGCCAGAAATCTAGGTGTAGTCATGGACTCTGACCTGAGTTTCAACAGTCACATTAAAACAGTTACTAAATCAGCCTACTATCACCTAAAGAACATATCTAGGATTAAAAGACTAATGTCACAGCAGGATTTGGAAAAACTTGTCCATGCTTTTATCTTCAGTCGACTCGACTACTGTAATGGTGTCTTTACAGGTCTCACTAAAAAATCGATTAGAAAGCTGCAGCTAATTCAGAACGCCGCTGCTCGAGTCCTCACTAACATTAAGAAAGTGGATCACACCACTCCTGTTCTGAAGTCTTTACACTGGCTTCCTGTGTGTCAAAGAATTGATTTCAAAAATATTGTTGCTGGTTTGTAAAGCTTTGAATGGTTTAGGCCCAAAATACATGTCTGACCTACTGCTAAATTATGAACCATCCAGAACTCTCAGGTCTTCAGGGACTGGTCAGCTTTCTGTCCCCAGAGTCAGAACTAAACATGGAGAAGCAGCATTCAGTTATTATGCTCCAAATATCTGGAACAAACTCCCAGAAACCTGCAGGTCCGCTGCAACTCTTACTACTTTTAAATCCAGGCTGAAGACTTTTCTTTTTGCCGCTGCTTTTAATTGATATATTCATATCTTAAACTGCACTGTAACTTTTATCCATGTCTTTTTTCTTTTAATGTTTATTTTATTATCTTTTCTTTTTAATGACTGATTTTAAATGCCATTTTCTTAATGTCTTCCATTTTTGTAAAGCACTTTGAATTGCCTTGTGTTGAAAGGTGCTATATAAATAAACTTGCCTTGCCTTGCCTTGCCTTGCCTTGCTTATCAGGGGAATGTGGGGTTGGGCCACGGCCGGCCATTGCCGCTCGAAAGCGCATCCATACGGCTAATGAGGGCCTGGAGGCGCTTGTAGGTGAGGGGAGGCTGACCCTCATTCAGTTCTATGATCCTTTAGGACAGAAAAATGCCTGGCCATAGTACATATGCCAGGCCTGTAAGTGGCGCTGTAGTCTGCCACAAAAGCAGCGAAGAAGACTTCCCGCCCATAGTTACCATGGTTACCCTTCTGTTTATTCTCCACTGTGGCTTTTTTTCTCCCTCCCCGAGGCAAGCGTTTGCTCCCGCTGCTTTAATTCAATGCAATCCCTCCCCGTCGAGGCAAGCACTGTAATTCTCTCCGGTTAGTCCACCAGCAGATGACAAACACCCACCTCTCCGCCTCTTCCAAGGAACGAGGGGACCGTGCGGCAGAGTTTCAGTTTCTTTCGCCGGTCAAGATGTCCGTTAAAGTTTAAATCTTCCGGACAAAATTAGAAAAGTGCCGGTCAAAGGTCTTCTTTGTTATTTATTGAGCTTTAAAACAAATTAATAACGACTCTATAGGCCTATAATAATATAATAAAACCATAGACTGTATATATAAATAAAACACGGAGGACGGAGATCTTTTTTTCTCCCCCTCTTGACTTGATCAGAGCACGGCTTCCCTCTCCTGCAGGGGGGCGTGGTCAGCTGCAGCTCACAAAATCAGCCCCGTAGACAGCAAACAGCACATAGAGCGAAATGAGGCATGGCTAAAATGCATGATCTGTTTGGTATTTTGAAAACAGAAACGTATAAATATACCTTATATAGGTATGGCCCTACAATATATCATTTAAATATAGCATGATAGGTGTCCTTTAAAGCTGACTGACCATCTTTTTTCAGGCATGGGTGGCCAACTTTGAGCGTCTGCGTATGAACGCCAACTCCCTGCTGGCCAGTCCCACAGGCCTCAGCCCCTACCTGCGCTTCGGATGTCTCTCCTGTCGACTCTTCTACTTCAGACTTACCGATCTGTACAAGAAGGTACGGTACCACTTTACAATAAGACTACCCTTATAAAGGGTTTACGAATAGTTTGTAATTCAATTATTAATTAGGTTGTGAACACTTAAATCATTAATAAGCTTTTATAAGACATGAGATAAACAGGGCAACTGTGACCGGTTGCTTGCCAAATAGAGAGCCCACATTTATCTGTACTGCTAAGCCTTATATTGGCTACCTAACTTACTTCTTCTTCTTCATCAGCCAGCATCCTTGGTATCTGTTGTTCACTGAGTTGATTCCCCCCCTTCCATCTTGATGTTTCTTGGCATCTCTTATGACCATTTATGAATGAGTTACTAACATTTATAACTGACAAAAGGGAGCCTTATTGTAAAGTGTAAAACACATTCCCATTTATTAATGAGTTACACAACCATTTATAATTGGTAAAAGGGAGCCTTATTGTAAAGTGTGAAACACATCACCATCTGTTGATGAGTCACTAACATTTATAACTACTGAAAGGGTGCGTCGTTTTTAAGTTTAATACACATGTCCATTTGTGAATGAGTTATAACATTCACGCTGACCTAATACACATTTTTCACATGAAATGCAAAGTAAGATGCAAAAGAGCCAAGCAAAACATTTTATTCACACATGAAGAAAATTAGGACTCATAGTAATGACTGTTTAGTATGACTGATACACATATTTAAAAAATAAAAGCTTTTCTCAGACATAAATGAAAGACTTGGTAAGACATAATGGTACTCAGACTGGAAAGGCTTTGTGTATATCCTTGAACAAGCGTCCAAGCAGTCCATCAGGGTGAGCAGAGCCAAGCCAAGATGACCATTCAAGAACCTTGAGGTGTTCCTCCAACAAACTCTCTGTACGGTTTCCTCTCAGTCTACGGGCATGTCCTTTGACGGTCGACCTAGCTCTTTCATTATGTTGGGTATGACTGCCAGTCTGGGGGTTCACAAACCACCTGCTGTGGTTTATGGTGTAGTGCAGGGGTAGCCAACACGGTGCCCGCGGGCACTTAGTCGCCTGCGGGGCATGTTCTAAAAATAGCTCGCCAAGCAAATCCAAAATGTAAAAAATATACAAAACAAAAAAGGAAATGTAATTAAAAGAATCTACCCTATGCATAAACAAAACCTCAATCATAGCGAACTCTATCTACTTACTACAACTCTATATCTATCTAACACCCCTCCTCCCCCCACCCCCACAATGAATATCGACCAATCACGTTCTTGCTTGATTTGCGGACCAGCGCTGCAGTCAGGAAGAAAAGCAATGTGGAGCGGCAGCTCACCGCTTCATAAGGAGTTTGACCGTGATTTTCCTTCTGGCAGAATCTACACAACACATCAGCCCCATTGAACAGCCTAGTCATGCTGCAGCGAAGAAGACTTCTCACAGAATCAGCCCTTGCAAAAACAGGGCTAAAAAAGAACAAATAGAGCGAAATGAGGCATGGCTAAAATGCATGATCTGTTTGGTATTTTGAAAATAAAACTTCACAGACATGTTTTATATAGGTATGGCCCTACAATATATTATTCAAATATAGCATGATAGGTCCACTTTAAGGAGCTGCAGTATTCTCTAAAGTGTTCTACAGTGTCTGTATTGCCTTTAGACAATATTATATACCTGTGCTGAGCTAGATTGAGATCATATATCAACTTTATATCTCTCAAATTATGTTATACTTAGATTTTGCTGAACTAACTGTAAAGGTTACGTCACTTTTTAACTGAAATGAAAGTCTTTTCCTACTTTATTATCAAATCCAAATGACTTTATCATCTATAATTGACCACATTACCGTAGCATGTTTTTAACTATACTTATTGCACAAAATCTGCATTTATAACAACTTGCAGAAGTGTTTTGTCAAAATCACATCGTGTAAAAACTGTTTTATATGTTAAGAATAGTGTCAAAAGTGTGCTTAATGTTAACCTTTTTTTGTTTTACTCACACCTATTGTCTCCTCTAGAGTGACCTAGGACAGGGCCATCCAATCCTTAACAAAGAGTATACTTGTGTTTTAAAGCATAATTAACTAATTAAATGACATGTTTTCTACTCTTTCTTTTCCTGTTCCTGTCCGTCCTCTCCGCTGCTCCTCAGGTGGAGTATGAAGGACTGAAACATGGGATCAAAGTCCTCGAGGAGGAGACTGTCCTCCTCAACAGTCAGCTGGAAGACGCACTACGTCTGAAAGACATTTCTCAGGGTCAGTTGGAGGAGGCCTTAGATGCCCTAAAGAGTGAGCGTGAGCAGAAGAACAATCTGAGGAAGGAGCTGGCCCACCACCTCAGCCTGAGTGACAGTGTATACGGAGCAGGGGCCCACCTGGCCCTCACCGTCACTGGCGTTGAGGGTCTCAAGTTCTCTGAGGAGACCAACATCACCAACGGTGCTGCTAACGGCAACAACGAGGACAGCAATAGTCGCAACGGTCATGTTCACGCAGGCACCGGATTGGCTAAAATGAACGGGAGAGTACAGACCGGGCTGGAAAGGAGAAGGCCTGCACCCGGTGCCGGACCTGTTCAGTGAACTCAACCTGTCCGAGATACAGAAGCTCAAACAGCAGCTACTACAGGTGGGTCATAAGGAAATATAGCAGGCTTTTTATGCTAGCTGCTAGCCATTTTGTAATATTGAATGTTATTTTCAAGGTCAGTACTGACACCACTTGATCACATTGGTTATGTGTCCAGTTACTGTCTGGAAAAATTTATCTGCTTTATAGCTGTTACCAACACTAACCCCAAGACAATTTACTGTGGCACTCAAGCTCATATATGCAAATATATTGCATTTCAGTTTGAAGTAGTGTCCTGCCTCCTTCTCTGTGGGTGTGTCTGTTTGTTTTGTGTTCATTGTTCAGTCTTTATTGCTTCACTGATGAAAGGAGCCCTAGTCACTGTTTGCCCATGATAATAGCGAGGAAAGGGCAAAGTGCTGACAGTTTGGGAATGAGAAGAAAAGCATGGAAAACAACACAAAATACTACAGCATTTACTGATTGTTTGTCTTTCAATAATGAATTCAAAAAATGTTAATGGAACAGCTTTAAAACCACAAGTGATGATAAAGACAAGATGCTTATCATTGTATGTTAAACACAACATAATTTGGTTTGGCAGCAAGGTACTCCGTTAGCAGGATATATGTTTGAAAAAGGGTAAACATATACCACATATAGAAGAAGAAGAAGAAGAAGATGGAAAAATCCCCCGAGGGGGATATTCAGTTTCCACTCTGTCGTACACACATGCGTTTTTATACAGGTACATACAGTCCACACTTTTTAAATCATGCACATACATGATGGGGCACAGTAAACAATGCCCATAACATAGATAGCCTACACGTTAGTCTAGAAAACCTCACTTACGAGACGACGCAAGGTTTCCAGGCATTGACCCCGTACATTATAGCCTCTAGGAACATGCTCATGCAACACCAATACGCTCTTGATCTTGTGTTCGCCTCAAAGGGTGGCCTGTGTCATGTTATTGGTGACTCCTGCTGCACTTACGTTCCCGACACCAGCAAAAACATTACCGACACCGTGCTACACCTTAACAACCTGTTGGCCAACATGAAAGATGAAGACATATCCACTGCGAGTGGCTGGGACTGGTGGTCCTGGCTTACATCGGGTGGGTGGGAAGCATGGCTGGCTACAATAGTTACGCCAGTGATCATCTTTTTCGGCCTACTAATCTGTTGCACATGTTTTATTATCCCCCTACTGAAGAAATGTGTCTCCAGCATGATATCCTCAGCTTTCGTTCAGTACGCTGCTATCCCACTCCAAGATCCTATGGGGCGCCACACCTACGCCAACCTTTTGCCCCAAACATTCTGGCGTGCAGGTGCCCCTGTGACCGAGTCAGAGTCAGATTCTGAATTTGACACTGCGATATAATCCATGTGAATTGAATGTACCCTCCTCTTATGCTTACATTATACTGGAGTCTGTCCTCCACAAAAACAGCCATTTTCCATGATATATTTGTGATGTGTTTACTTAAAGGGGACCTATCATGCAAAATGCACTTTTGTACGTCTTTTATACATGAATATGTGTCCCCGGTGTTCCAGGGAACTCACCAAGTGTCAGAAAACACAACCCTCTCTATTTTCCTCCATACCCAAATCTCTAAAAAAGGGGCTGCAACGGATCTGATAAAAACTGATCCAGATCTGAACACTGTCCTGACGTCAGGAAACTGGCGCTCCGGCTATCTGGCCAACTCCACCAATCAGGAGGAGACAACCACGGCATTGCCGTTCGAAAGCGCTGGAGACGCTGTAGTACATATGCCAGGCCTCTAGATGGTGCTGTTGCTCACAAAATCAACCCTTGCAAAAACAGAGCTAACATTTTTCAAATTGAGCAAAATGAGGCATGGCTAAAATGCATGATCTGTTTGGTATTTTGAAAAAAAAAAAGTATAAATATGCCTTATATAGGTATGGTCCTACACTATATTATTCAAATATAGCATGATAGGTCCACTTTAAATTGCATACACGTTCTTTTAGTAAACACTGAAAACGGGTCCCACAGACCCAAACAGCACAAAGGTTAAAGGTAAGCATATAATAATGTTAAAATGTGCTAAATATATACACTGCAAAAAACAAAAAAAAGAGGAGTAAAAGTAGCTCACGACTTGTTTTATATTTTGAAAGTAGCTCTCATCCTAAAAAAGGTTGGTGACCCCTGGTGTAGTGGTTGTACCCCATGTTACTCGGCACTCTCCTGTATGCCCTCCACTCATCACTAATAATGCTACTTCCTGACTTAACATGCCGTCTAATCAGAGGGACAAGGGGACATCTTGATCGTTTCTCCACTAGTTTCAACACTAGTCTCCGCCTTTTGTCTTTAACTCCCATCTTTCCGAAGACCCATTTCTTCCTTCTCCAGGTATGTCCAAAGCGTCCACGTGCATACTAACAAAAAATAAATTATAACATCATCTTAGTTAACAACAAAATGCACACAAATTACAGTAAAAATTGTTGCACATCATGTTTCAAAATGCCATACTTGTTTATTAGGTGCATTATATAAAATTATTTAAGGATAATTATACAGTAATGGTCCATATTGATTTAAAAAAAATAAAATGTATTCTCTTCGTTCTTCAGATATGACTGTGAGGTTAACGTGTAAGCCAGTAGCGTAACAAGGTTGTGATTGGCCACAGTGCAAATATTGTTTTGGGGCCCCCCCCCCATTGCCCCAAACATAAGCGCATGCTGATGCGCTCACACACGCACGGCATGGACATACACTCTCTCTTGTCCTTTCTCTTTTGCTTTGGTTTGCTGTACATTATAAATGCAAGCTATTACATTTTTTATAATGCTGCCAAACTTGCTGCTGCTAGCTAAAGTACAGTACAGGTTGATTAAACGGTTCGCTCGTCACGCAAGGTATCACATGACATGAAAGCAGGGCCGGTTCTAGACAATTTGATGCTCTAGGCGAGATTTTTGTTGTTCATTCATATCTTATTTTACCTAGTTAACATTTATTTAGTAATGCATTTTTTTTATCTCTCCAGTTTTATACGATACTTTTGGTTTACTGTCCTATAGTATACATTGAAATGATTTCAAACCTGTTTATCCCAATAATTATAAAGGAGTGCCTTGGAAATATGTGTTTACATCAGGGGTGTCAAACTCAAGGCCCGGGGGCCAAATCCGGCCCGTGACTTCATTTTCTGTGGCCCCACAAGAGCTTGCAAAGAATATTATATGTTTATTATACAGTTACATGATGATTTACAGAAGCACGTTGCCCATAAACTACATGTCCCACAATGCATCTCAAATTAGACTTTTTTTTTCTCAGAATTTGACTTTTTTTCTTCTAAATATGTCTTTTTTCTTAGAATGTGCCCTTTTCTCAGAATTTGACTCTTTTTTTTAAATGTTACTTTTCTTTTAAATGTCACTTCCTTTTTTTGAAATGTCACTTCTTTTTTTGAAATGTCACTTCCTTTTTTTGAAATGTCACTTCTTTTTTTTAACCTTGAGGTGTTCCTCCAACAAACTCTCTGTACGGTTTCCTCTCAGTCTACGGGCATGTCCTTTGACGGTCGACCTAGCTCTTTCATTATGTTGGGTATGACTGCCAGTCTGGGGGTTCACAAACCACCTGCTGTGGTTTATGGTGTAGTGCAGGGGTAGCCAACACGGTGCCCGCGGGCACTTAGTCGCCTGCGGGGCATGTTCTAAAAATAGCTCGCCAAGCAAATCCAAAATGTAAAAAATATACAAAACAAAAAAGGAAATGTAATTAAAAGAATCTACCCTATGCATAAACAAAACCTCAATCATAGCGAACTCTATCTACTTACTACAACTCTATATCTATCTAACACCCCTCCTCCCCCCACCCCCACAATGAATATCGACCAATCACGTTCTTGCTTGATTTGCGGACCAGCGCTGCAGTCAGGAAGAAAAGCAATGTGGAGCGGCAGCTCACCGCTTCATAAGGAGTTTGACCGTGATTTTCCTTCTGGCAGAATCTACACAACACATCAGCCCCATTGAACAGCCTAGTCATGCTGCAGCGAAGAAGACTTCTCACAGAATCAGCCCTTGCAAAAACAGGGCTAAAAAAGAACAAATAGAGCGAAATGAGGCATGGCTAAAATGCATGATCTGTTTGGTATTTTGAAAATAAAACTTCACAGACATGTTTTATATAGGTATGGCCCTACAATATATTATTCAAATATAGCATGATAGGTCCACTTTAAGGAGCTGCAGTATTCTCTAAAGTGTTCTACAGTGTCTGTATTGCCTTTAGACAATATTATATACCTGTGCTGAGCTAGATTGAGATCATATATCAACTTTATATCTCTCAAATTATGTTATACTTAGATTTTGCTGAACTAACTGTAAAGGTTACGTCACTTTTTAACTGAAATGAAAGTCTTTTCCTACTTTATTATCAAATCCAAATGACTTTATCATCTATAATTGACCACATTACCGTAGCATGTTTTTAACTATACTTATTGCACAAAATCTGCATTTATAACAACTTGCAGAAGTGTTTTGTCAAAATCACATCGTGTAAAAACTGTTTTATATGTTAAGAATAGTGTCAAAAGTGTGCTTAATGTTAACCTTTTTTTGTTTTACTCACACCTATTGTCTCCTCTAGAGTGACCTAGGACAGGGCCATCCAATCCTTAACAAAGAGTATACTTGTGTTTTAAAGCATAATTAACTAATTAAATGACATGTTTTCTACTCTTTCTTTTCCTGTTCCTGTCCGTCCTCTCCGCTGCTCCTCAGGTGGAGTATGAAGGACTGAAACATGGGATCAAAGTCCTCGAGGAGGAGACTGTCCTCCTCAACAGTCAGCTGGAAGACGCACTACGTCTGAAAGACATTTCTCAGGGTCAGTTGGAGGAGGCCTTAGATGCCCTAAAGAGTGAGCGTGAGCAGAAGAACAATCTGAGGAAGGAGCTGGCCCACCACCTCAGCCTGAGTGACAGTGTATACGGAGCAGGGGCCCACCTGGCCCTCACCGTCACTGGCGTTGAGGGTCTCAAGTTCTCTGAGGAGACCAACATCACCAACGGTGCTGCTAACGGCAACAACGAGGACAGCAATAGTCGCAACGGTCATGTTCACGCAGGCACCGGATTGGCTAAAATGAACGGAGAGTACAGACCGGGCTGGAAAGGAGAAGGCCTGCACCCGGTGCCGGACCTGTTCAGTGAACTCAACCTGTCCGAGATACAGAAGCTCAAACAGCAGCTACTACAGGTGGGTCATAAGGAAATATAGCAGGCTTTTTATGCTAGCTGCTAGCCATTTTGTAATATTGAATGTTATTTTCAAGGTCAGTACTGACACCACTTGATCACATTGGTTATGTGTCCAGTTACTGTCTGGAAAAATTTATCTGCTTTATAGCTGTTACCAACACTAACCCCAAGACAATTTACTGTGGCACTCAAGCTCATATATGCAAATATATTGCATTTCAGTTTGAAGTAGTGTCCTGCCTCCTTCTCTGTGGGTGTGTCTGTTTGTTTTGTGTTCATTGTTCAGTCTTTATTGCTTCACTGATGAAAGGAGCCCTAGTCACTGTTTGCCCATGATAATAGCGAGGAAAGGGCAAAGTGCTGACAGTTTGGGAATGAGAAGAAAAGCATGGAAAACAACACAAAATACTACAGCATTTACTGATTGTTTGTCTTTCAATAATGAATTCAAAAAATGTTAATGGAACAGCTTTAAAACCACAAGTGATGATAAAGACAAGATGCTTATCATTGTATGTTAAACACAACATAATTTGGTTTGGCAGCAAGGTACTCCGTTAGCAGGATATATGTTTGAAAAAGGGTAAACATATACCACATATAGAAGAAGAAGAAGAAGAAGATGGAAAAATCCCCCGAGGGGGATATTCAGTTTCCACTCTGTCGTACACACATGCGTTTTTATACAGGTACATACAGTCCACACTTTTTAAATCATGCACATACATGATGGGGCACAGTAAACAATGCCCATAACATAGATAGCCTACACGTTAGTCTAGAAAACCTCACTTACGAGACGACGCAAGGTTTCCAGGCATTGACCCCGTACATTATAGCCTCTAGGAACATGCTCATGCAACACCAATACGCTCTTGATCTTGTGTTCGCCTCAAAGGGTGGCCTGTGTCATGTTATTGGTGACTCCTGCTGCACTTACGTTCCCGACACCAGCAAAAACATTACCGACACCGTGCTACACCTTAACAACCTGTTGGCCAACATGAAAGATGAAGACATATCCACTGCGAGTGGCTGGGACTGGTGGTCCTGGCTTACATCGGGTGGGTGGGAAGCATGGCTGGCTACAATAGTTACGCCAGTGATCATCTTTTTCGGCCTACTAATCTGTTGCACATGTTTTATTATCCCCCTACTGAAGAAATGTGTCTCCAGCATGATATCCTCAGCTTTCGTTCAGTACGCTGCTATCCCACTCCAAGATCCTATGGGGCGCCACACCTACGCCAACCTTTTGCCCCAAACATTCTGGCGTGCAGGTGCCCCTGTGACCGAGTCAGAGTCAGATTCTGAATTTGACACTGCGATATAATCCATGTGAATTGAATGTACCCTCCTCTTATGCTTACATTATACTGGAGTCTGTCCTCCACAAAAACAGCCATTTTCCATGATATATTTGTGATGTGTTTACTTAAAGGGGACCTATCATGCAAAATGCACTTTTGTACGTCTTTTATACATGAATATGTGTCCCCGGTGTTCCAGGGAACTCACCAAGTGTCAGAAAACACAACCCTCTCTATTTTCCTCCATACCCAAATCTCTAAAAAAGGGGCTGCAACGGATCTGATAAAAACTGATCCAGATCTGAACACTGTCCTGACGTCAGGAAACTGGCGCTCCGGCTATCTGGCCAACTCCACCAATCAGGAGGAGACAACCACGGCATTGCCGTTCGAAAGCGCTGGAGACGCTGTAGTACATATGCCAGGCCTCTAGATGGTGCTGTTGCTCACAAAATCAACCCTTGCAAAAACAGAGCTAACATTTTTCAAATTGAGCAAAATGAGGCATGGCTAAAATGCATGATCTGTTTGGTATTTTGAAAAAAAAAAAGTATAAATATGCCTTATATAGGTATGGTCCTACACTATATTATTCAAATATAGCATGATAGGTCCACTTTAAATTGCATACACGTTCTTTTAGTAAACACTGAAAACGGGTCCCACAGACCCAAACAGCACAAAGGTTAAAGGTAAGCATATAATAATGTTAAAATGTGCTAAATATATACACTGCAAAAAACAAAAAAAAGAGGAGTAAAAGTAGCTCACGACTTGTTTTATATTTTGAAAGTAGCTCTCATCCTAAAAAAGGTTGGTGACCCCTGGTGTAGTGGTTGTACCCCATGTTACTCGGCACTCTCCTGTATGCCCTCCACTCATCACTAATAATGCTACTTCCTGACTTAACATGCCGTCTAATCAGAGGGACAAGGGGACATCTTGATCGTTTCTCCACTAGTTTCAACACTAGTCTCCGCCTTTTGTCTTTAACTCCCATCTTTCCGAAGACCCATTTCTTCCTTCTCCAGGTATGTCCAAAGCGTCCACGTGCATACTAACAAAAAATAAATTATAACATCATCTTAGTTAACAACAAAATGCACACAAATTACAGTAAAAATTGTTGCACATCATGTTTCAAAATGCCATACTTGTTTATTAGGTGCATTATATAAAATTATTTAAGGATAATTATACAGTAATGGTCCATATTGATTTAAAAAAAATAAAATGTATTCTCTTCGTTCTTCAGATATGACTGTGAGGTTAACGTGTAAGCCAGTAGCGTAACAAGGTTGTGATTGGCCACAGTGCAAATATTGTTTTGGGGCCCCCCCCCCATTGCCCCAAACATAAGCGCATGCTGATGCGCTCACACACGCACGGCATGGACATACACTCTCTCTTGTCCTTTCTCTTTTGCTTTGGTTTGCTGTACATTATAAATGCAAGCTATTACATTTTTTATAATGCTGCCAAACTTGCTGCTGCTAGCTAAAGTACAGTACAGGTTGATTAAACGGTTCGCTCGTCACGCAAGGTATCACATGACATGAAAGCAGGGCCGGTTCTAGACAATTTGATGCTCTAGGCGAGATTTTTGTTGTTCATTCATATCTTATTTTACCTAGTTAACATTTATTTAGTAATGCATTTTTTTTATCTCTCCAGTTTTATACGATACTTTTGGTTTACTGTCCTATAGTATACATTGAAATGATTTCAAACCTGTTTATCCCAATAATTATAAAGGAGTGCCTTGGAAATATGTGTTTACATCAGGGGTGTCAAACCCAAGGCCCGGGGGCCAAATCCGGCCCGTGACTTCATTTTCTGTGGCCCCACAAGAGCTTGCAAAGAATATTATATGTTTATTATACAGTTACATGATGATTTACAGAAGCACGTTGCCCATAAACTACATGTCCCACAATGCATCTCAAATTAGACTTTTTTTTTCTCAGAATTTGACTTTTTTTCTTCTAAATATGTCTTTTTTCTTAGAATGTGCCCTTTTCTCAGAATTTGACTCTTTTTTTTAAATGTTACTTTTCTTTTAAATGTCACTTCCTTTTTTTGAAATGTCACTTCTTTTTTTGAAATGTCACTTCCTTTTTTTGAAATGTCACTTCTTTTTTTTTAACCTTGAGGTGTTCCTCCAACAAACTCTCTGTACGGTTTCCTCTCAGTCTACGGGCATGTCCTTTGACGGTCGACCTAGCTCTTTCATTATGTTGGGTATGACTGCCAGTCTGGGGGTTCACAAACCACCTGCTGTGGTTTATGGTGTAGTGCAGGGGTAGCCAACACGGTGCCCGCGGGCACTTAGTCGCCTGCGGGGCATGTTCTAAAAATAGCTCGCCAAGCAAATCCAAAATGTAAAAAATATACAAAACAAAAAAGGAAATGTAATTAAAAGAATCTACCCTATGCATAAACAAAACCTCAATCATAGCGAACTCTATCTACTTACTACAACTCTATATCTATCTAACACCCCTCCTCCCCCCACCCCCACAATGAATATCGACCAATCACGTTCTTGCTTGATTTGCGGACCAGCGCTGCAGTCAGGAAGAAAAGCAATGTGGAGCGGCAGCTCACCGCTTCATAAGGAGTTTGACCGTGATTTTCCTTCTGGCAGAATCTACACAACACATCAGCCCCATTGAACAGCCTAGTCATGCTGCAGCGAAGAAGACTTCTCACAGAATCAGCCCTTGCAAAAACAGGGCTAAAAAAGAACAAATAGAGCGAAATGAGGCATGGCTAAAATGCATGATCTGTTTGGTATTTTGAAAATAAAACTTCACAGACATGTTTTATATAGGTATGGCCCTACAATATATTATTCAAATATAGCATGATAGGTCCACTTTAAGGAGCTGCAGTATTCTCTAAAGTGTTCTACAGTGTCTGTATTGCCTTTAGACAATATTATATACCTGTGCTGAGCTAGATTGAGATCATATATCAACTTTATATCTCTCAAATTATGTTATACTTAGATTTTGCTGAACTAACTGTAAAGGTTACGTCACTTTTTAACTGAAATGAAAGTCTTTTCCTACTTTATTATCAAATCCAAATGACTTTATCATCTATAATTGACCACATTACCGTAGCATGTTTTTAACTATACTTATTGCACAAAATCTGCATTTATAACAACTTGCAGAAGTGTTTTGTCAAAATCACATCGTGTAAAAACTGTTTTATATGTTAAGAATAGTGTCAAAAGTGTGCTTAATGTTAACCTTTTTTTGTTTTACTCACACCTATTGTCTCCTCTAGAGTGACCTAGGACAGGGCCATCCAATCCTTAACAAAGAGTATACTTGTGTTTTAAAGCATAATTAACTAATTAAATGACATGTTTTCTACTCTTTCTTTTCCTGTTCCTGTCCGTCCTCTCCGCTGCTCCTCAGGTGGAGTATGAAGGACTGAAACATGGGATCAAAGTCCTCGAGGAGGAGACTGTCCTCCTCAACAGTCAGCTGGAAGACGCACTACGTCTGAAAGACATTTCTCAGGGTCAGTTGGAGGAGGCCTTAGATGCCCTAAAGAGTGAGCGTGAGCAGAAGAACAATCTGAGGAAGGAGCTGGCCCACCACCTCAGCCTGAGTGACAGTGTATACGGAGCAGGGGCCCACCTGGCCCTCACCGTCACTGGCGTTGAGGGTCTCAAGTTCTCTGAGGAGACCAACATCACCAACGGTGCTGCTAACGGCAACAACGAGGACAGCAATAGTCGCAACGGTCATGTTCACGCAGGCACCGGATTGGCTAAAATGAACGGGGAGTACAGACCGGGCTGGAAAGGAGAAGGCCTGCACCCGGTGCCGGACCTGTTCAGTGAACTCAACCTGTCCGAGATACAGAAGCTCAAACAGCAGCTACTACAGGTGGGTCATAAGGAAATATAGCAGGCTTTTTATGCTAGCTGCTAGCCATTTTGTAATATTGAATGTTATTTTCAAGGTCAGTACTGACACCACTTGATCACATTGGTTATGTGTCCAGTTACTGTCTGGAAAAATGTATCTGCTTTATAGCTGTTACCAACACTAACCCCAAGACAATTTACTGTGGCACTCAAGCTCATATATGCAAATATATTGCATTTCAGTTTGAAGTAGTGTCCTGCCTCCTTCTCTGTGGGTGTGTCTGTTTGTTTTGTGTTCATTGTTCAGTCTTTATTGCTTCACTGATGAAAGGAGCCCTAGTCACTGTTTGCCCATGATAATAGCGAGGAAAGGGCAAAGTGCTGACAGTTTGGGAATGAGAAGAAAAGCATGGAAAACAACACAAAATACTACAGCATTTACTGATTGTTTGTCTTTCAATAATGAATTCAAAAAATGTTAATGGAACGGCTTTAAAACCACAAGTGATGATAAAGACAAGATGCTTATCATTGTATGTTAAACACAACATAATTTGGTTTGGCAGCAAGGTACTCCGTTAGCAGGATATATGTTTGAAAAAGGGTAAACATATACCACATATAGAAGAAGAAGAAGAAGAAGATGGAAAAATCCCCCGAGGGGGATATTCAGTTTCCACTCTGTCGTACACACATGCGTTTTTATACAGGTACATACAGTCCACACTTTTTAAATCATGCACATACATGATGGGGCACAGTAAACAATGCCCATAACATAGATAGCCTACACGTTAGTCTAGTAAACCTCACTTACGAGACGACGCAAGGTTTCCAGGCATTGACCCCGTACATTATAGCCTCTAGGAACATGCTCATGCAACACCAATACGCTCTTGATCTTGTGTTCGCCTCAAAGGGTGGCCTGTGTCATGTTATTGGTGACTCCTGCTGCACTTACGTTCCCGACACCAGCAAAAACATTACCGACACCGTGCTACACCTTAACAACCTGTTGGCCAACATGAAAGATGAAGACATATCCACTGCGAGTGGCTGGGACTGGTGGTCCTGGCTTACATCGGGTGGGTGGGAAGCATGGCTGGCTACAATAGTTACGCCACTGATCATCTTTTTCGGCCTACTAATCTGTTGCACATGTTTTATTATCCCCCTACTGAAGAAATGTGTCTCCAGCATGATATCCTCAGCTTTCGTTCAGTACGCTGCTATCCCACTCCAAGATCCAATGGGGCGCCACACCTACGCCAACCTTTTGCCCCAAACATTCTGGCGTGCAGGTGCCCCTGTGACCGAGTCAGAGTCAGATTCTGAATTTGACACTGCGATATAATCCATGTGAATTGAATGTACCCTCCTCTTATGCTTACATTATACTGGAGTCTGTCCTCCACAAAAACAGCCATTTTCCATGATATATTTGTGATGTGTTTACTTAAAGGGGACCTATCATGCAAAATGCACTTTTGTACGTCTTTTATACATGAATATGTGTCCCCGGTGTTCCAGGGAACTCACCAAGTGTCAGAAAACACAACCCTCTCTATTTTCCTCCATACCCAAATCTCTAAAAAAGGGGCTGCAACGGATCTGATAAAAACTGATCCAGATCTGAACACTGTCCTGACGTCAGGAAAGTGGCGCTACGGCTATCTGGCCAACTCCACCAATCAGGAGGAGACAACCACGGCATTGCCGTTCGAAAGCGCTGGAGACGCTGTAGTACATATGCCAGGCCTCTAGATGGTGCTGTTGCTCACAGAATCAACCCTTGCAAAAACAGAGCTAACATTTTTCAAATTGAGCAAAATGAGGCATGGCTAAAATGCATGATCTGTTTGGTATTTTGAAAAAAAAAAGTATAAATATGCCTTATATAGGTATGGTCCTACACTATATTATTCAAATATAGCATGATAGGTCCACTTTAAATTGCATACACGTTCTTTTAGTAAACACTGAAAACGGGTCCCTCAGACCCAAACAGCACAAAGGTTAAAGGTAAGCATATAATAATGTTAAAATGTGCTAAATATATACACTGCAAAAAACAAAAAAAAGAGGAGTAAAAGTAGCTCACGACTTGTTTTATATTTTGAAAGTAGCTCTCATCCTAAAAAAGGTTGGTGACCCCTGGTGTAGTGGTTGTACCCCATGTTACTCGGCACTCTCCTGTATGCCCTCCACTCATCACTAATAATGCTACTTCCTGACTTAACATGCCGTCTAATCAGAGGGACAAGGGGACATCTTGATAGTTTCTCCACTAGTTTCAACACTAGTCTCCGCCTTTTGTCTTTAACTCCCATCTTTCCGAAGACCCATTTCTTCCTTCTCGAGGTATGTCCAAAGCGTCCACGTGCATACTAACAAAAAATAAATCATAACATCATCTTAGTTAACAACAAAATGCACACAAATTACAGTAAAAATTGTTGCACATCATGTTTCAAAATGCCATACTTGTTTAATAGGTGCATTATATAAAATTATTTAAGGATAATTATACAGTAATGGTCCATATTGATTTAAAAAAAATAAAATGTATTCTCTTCGTTCTTCAGATATGACTGTGAGGTTAACGTGTAAGCCAGTAGCGTAACAAGGTTGTGATTGGCCCCAGTGCAAATATTGTTTTGGGGCCCCCCCCCCATTGCCCCAAACATAAGCGCATGCTGATGCGCTCACACACGCACGGCATGGACATACACTCTCTCTTGTCCTTTCTCTTTTGCTTTGGTTTGCTGTACATTATAAATGCAAGCTATTACATTTTTTATAATGCTGCCAAACTTGCTGCTGCTAGCTAAAGTACAGTACAGGTTGATTAAACGGTTCGCTCGTCACGCAAGGTATCACATGACATGAAAGCAGGGCCGGTTCTAGACAATTTGATGCTCTAGGCGAGATTTTTGTTGTTCATTCATATCTTATTTTACCTAGTTAACATTTATTTAGTAATGCATTTTTTTTATCTCTCCAGTTTTATACGATACTTTTGGTTTACTGTCCTATAGTATACATTGAAATGATTTCAAACCTGTTTATCCCAATAATTATAAAGGAGTGCCTTGGAAATATGTGTTTACATCAGGGGTGTCAAACTCAAGGCCCGGGGGCCAAATCCGGCCCGTGACTTCATTTTCTGTGGCCCCACAAGAGCTTGCAAAGAATATTATATGTTTATTATACGGTTACATGATGATTTACAGAAGCATGTTGCCCATAAACTACATGTCCCACAATGCATCTCAAATTAGACTTTTTTTTTCTCAGAATTTGACTTTTTTTCTTCTAAATATGTCTTTTTTCTTAGAATGTGCCCTTTTCTCAGAATTTGACTCTTTTTTTTAAATGTTACTTTTCTTTTAAATGTCACTTCTTTTTTTTGAAATGTCACTTCTTTTTTTTGATTTCGACTTTTTTTCCAGAATTTGGCTTTTCTTTTTAACCTGTTAAGCCCGAGAGACCCCGGTACCGGGGCACTGCCGCAACATCTTGCAGGAAACAGTGTCTCAGGGCATGTTCATTTAATAAAACTATGAATGTTTTATATCCATGTAACGGGAAGAAACTCATCTAACTGATCATTTTAATTTTTTTCAAAAGAAAACCCACAATGCTAACACTGAGCCTCTGAATTAGCAACGAGCGAAAAATGCTAACACCTTGCTGCACCGAAAATCACTCACAAAACCTTATTTATCTTTTCACCACATCCAACACATCGATTCACATCGTGAGGTGACACAGAATCTATCGACACCGACATTACCACAGAATTATACGTATTTGCGACGTTATAAGCAAAAACGGACATCAAAACAGGTCACGCTCGGTAGCTAAAAATGCTAACATTTTTACCTTGGCTCTGTAGTCTCTCCAAAGTGGTCTTCAATGGCATTAAAACGATAAAAATGCTGCTGAAGTTAATACATAGGTTAATCTAATGTGTCTGTGTCCCTTTGAAATGATTTCTGATAATCCATAAGCATTAAAACTGCTTTTCCGTTTCCAGATGTCAAAGCTAGAGATTGTTTGTTTGTTTGTTTGTAGCTTTTATTGAGATAGGTTCACTCTGATTGAAAATGACATGCGCGAAGCCCCCACCTTTTCTCTTCACAACATGTGTGTGTGGGGGACTCCCCCTTCAATTCTATTGGCTCTAACGGTCAGAAAGAGGTGTCAACCATCAAAATCGAGCAAGGGGGGCCAGAGATATGGAAAATCCACCCAAATGACCCCAGAAGTGGTTTCTTTTTGCTAAATCTCTCTAAAAAGGTCAAATGTCACTTGTTTTGCATCAATCTTGATACAGGGTACTTATTATATGTTGTACTTTGGATTCCTAAAGCTTTTAGTCTACTAACCCATCATCCAAAGGTGGTTTTCACTATAAGTAACAAATAATTTTTGGACGGACACTATAATTTACAGTTTTTTACTATGTAAAATCTGAATTTTCTTTAAAATAAAAAACATCTATATTGATTCTGACTTTTCTACATCCAACTCACAGGTTTATCATTACTTTGAGAAAAAAGATTATTAATTTAACCCTTTTAGAAGTGAAGATATAGTCATTTGTTCTGGGAATGTCATTTTTCGAGCCTGAGACCTGAAAAACAGGCTCAGGGCTTAACAGGTTAAATCATTTTGTGACATTCTCACTGAAGAGACTTGCAATTATTTGCCCCAGACTTCTGCTTTCAGACGTAGTTAATTATGAAGTTATTACCCTATCTGATAATAATCCAATGCAGAGGCAATAATGTAATGTAATACATTATTTTATATATATATTTATATATGTATTTTTATATAGTCTTAAAGTTACAACCGGCCGTTTGAGTGCAGCCCTAATGCTGATGTGGCCCGCGATTAAATTGAGTTTGACACCCCTGGTTTACATAAATTGTGATCAAAACGTTTGAGACCCACTGAGATAACTAAGTACACTAAAGTTAACTATCTAAACACTGAGAGAGTCTTTTACCTCACTGAGCTGTAGTTATCAGCCTCTCAGTCTGTCAGGAGAGAGCTCCCCTCCACCTTTGTTGGAGAAACATCTTCTTCTTATATCCGTTAGCGCAGCTAGCACCAGATGCTATTAACAACAGCGCCGGTACCTCGCTCCCACGCTCACTCGCACTTTGGCTGTGAGCTGCGGGCGCCAACATCCCCCACTTTCATCACTTACAGCGCCCATCGTACAGGGCAAATGAAAAGTGTAACCGGGATGAAAAGGGTGTTACCTTTACTTAATTATGAATGTTGTTACATCAAGGCCGAAAATTAGGATGAGCACCAACGGTCAAAAATGGTTTCCCCCCCCCCAGATCTGGCGCCCTATGCCAAAAACCAGCCCTGCATGAAAGGAAGCAAGGTTATTGGACAGACAAATTACAAATTAATTTAGGTTGCTTGGTTACTTTGAAGACTGCGTGAACTAGTCAATGCCATTGGGGCCCCAAAATATATATATATATATATATATATGTGACCCGCTCTATCGAAATCAGTCGGAAGTCGCAACGGCTCATTTAAAAATAAACGTGGATTTGCGTAAAAAACTATTTTTTCGGGGTTCGGGTGTTTTGTTTGATTTTAAATAAACAAAGTCTTGGCTTTCAGAATATGAAACTTTTATTTCCAAAACCACACGATAAATACATTTTTGAAGCTTGTAAAGGGAAGATGACAGGCACCTCTCACTCGCAATCTGCTCTTCCGCAGCGCCGCACCCCTCCCTCCGGCTGAAATTATGAATGTAAGGCATAGTAATCATACAGTAGATAACACGGCAGGGTCCGTTACAGTTTGTTTTCATCTGATTTCAAATAAACAAAGTCTTGGCTTTCAGAAAATTAAACTTGTTTCGGCAAATTTAGATGATAAATACAACTTTGAAGCTTGTAACGGCATAATTACAAGCGGAGACCGGAGTAATTTAACGTCACAGCAGTTATAACAACAGCCGGTGTTTCTCGTGAGTGTTTTCCCTGGGAAACAAACACAATATACACAAACGCAAAAATACACAAACACACACACACACATACACACACACACTCGCGAGCTTCCCCCAGACCAGTAATCCAAACGGAAATATTTTCCCTCCGGACTATTTTGATCATTTGCTCCGCTAATAATCAATTAGATCGATGGATTCCAGAGAAGAGGAAACTTTGAAGGCCTTTTTCTCAAAATGATGACTCGGTGACAGTCATTATATAATGTGACATATTTTGCTTAATATTTGGAGTACAAAAACAATCCTGATATCATTAGAAAGCTAGGAATCTCCTCTTTCCAACAGCACTACTTTGACGT